GAGCTTTTAGATTTTTCTTATTTTTGCAAAAATTAAATAAAAACTTGTTCTTTAAAGCTTATTTTATGATTCAATAAATATGAATGATATTTGTTTAAAACATCCATGTATAGTGTTTTGTTTTGTGCAGCATACTCTGAATATCTTGGCTGATTGTAAAGAATATGTCACAGTGCATATCATGCATCTTATTAATACAGAAATGGTTTTTAATTGTTAACTAACAATAAATGAAATGAAATCTTGTAGGTAGCAAATACAGGCTGGGCACTTTTCACCCAAAAAAATGGGCTGAAAATCTCGGCTTATACTCGAGTATATACGGTATGTGCTCCCAGTGAGATTCTTTATTTTCTGACCTAGAATTCTACAATAGCACAGCTGGGAACTGTCTGATTCATCATTTCCCCTTGAAGAAATGGCCTCTTTGGTCAGATAATTCGTTCCATTAATCTGGTTTTGTTATTATTTTGACATTGTGTGTTTAAAGCAAGGAATATAATTTCCTTTTTACTTTATTTTATCTTGGCTGTCACCCGTGTGTAATTTTTTTTGGTATCTTTTGTTCAAAGAAAAGAAATAGGTCTTTGTTTAATATCTCTCGATAATTAAACTAGTATTATGTGATAATAAATAGGCTAAATGTTACTGAATTTGTATTGATGTATTTATGTATTATGTAATTGACATTGACTTTTTTTTTTTTTCAGGTGGATCAACTTCTCAAAACTCCAAAGAGGACAATCGAATTGTTGGGTGCATGCAGGAGTCAAGTGGTCCAAAACGCACTTATGATATGATGGAAGGACAGATTCCAAGAGGTTTACATGTCCGGGAGTTGCCAGCCGGCCCTACAGAAGGTATGTCTGATTGGCTCTAATTCCTCTTTCATATGTTTAATGAGGAATAGCTGTCTCAATGAAAGTTCTCTTATCCAGGTTATGGTATATCTAATAGTAGTTAGTCTCTCTTCTGGAATGGTTATGAAATTTGGTGAAGATGTTTAGCTACACTTTTGGAGCACTTCATGCTTCCTTCCGCAGACGAGCTCTATGGGGATGCTGACTTCATTTTCCAGCAGGACTTGGCACTGCCCACACTGCCAAAAGCACCAAAACCTGGTTCAATGACCGTGGGATTACTGTGCTTGATTGGCCAGCAAACTCGCCTGACCTGAACCCCATAGAGAATGTATGGGGCATTGCCAAGAGAAAGATGAGAGACATGAGACCGAACAATGCAGAGGAGCTGAAGGCCGCTATCGAAGCATCCTGGTCTTCCATAACACCTCAGCAGTGCCACAGGCTGATGGCTTCCATGCCACGCCGCATTGAGGCAGTAATTGCTGCAAAAGGGGCCCAAACCAAGTACTGAGTACATATGCATGCTTATACTTTTCAGAGGTCCGATATTTTTCCATCTGACCACAGAAAATCTGCAGATAATTGTAAGGTGTATGGCCACCTTAACAGTGGTATTCACAAAAAGGTGAAGGGTTTGGAGAAGGCAGGAGAAGTGAACAATCTAGGGCAACATAGCTGATTTTGAAAAACTCTCCAATTGAGCTCACTTTTCGATTCAGCATTTTTGGCCCAGATTCTTCACTTCTCCTGCCTTCCCCAAACTCTTCACCCTTTTGTGAATAACCCTGTAAGAGTTCCTGTGTCTCTCAATGGTCTCCCAGAAAAGGATTTTACGGTGAGTACAAAAATCCTATGTTCTTCAACATTATAAAACAAGTCCAGTTGAATGTGACTAACTACTACTAGGTAGAAATAGATGTCACATGTTTTAGCACAATCTACCTTACCCTGCACACCTATACAAAGTCATCTATGCCAGATGCAAATTTATAAAAAAAATTGTAAAAAATTATGTAATTGATGTTCACTTTTTGAACATTTTTCCATGAACCTTTGGCACCAATTCAGTGTTGTCGTTGTGTGCAGGTTTAATGGGAAGAGCCATTCCTGGAGACAGACACAGCCCGCACACCATGAAGGAACCACCACAACATATAAGAGGCTCCATAACACAGGGTAATACATTCAGGACTTCTGGTTGTTATGTTTTCTCTCATTTTGATGGTTAGTAATTTACTTTTATTTAAGTAACTTGTGCAACAATTAAACTGTTACTGCTGTCCAGTAAGCTTGGAAGTACACTAAGTTTACCTTGATTTCTGTGCAATTGCCTACAGCCATAATCCTTGGAGCTGTTCACATATGGACAGAGAGTGGGCCTGCTTCCATAAATACTGTATGTGTCAAAATGAAATTAAGTTATATGTGATGAACTTTTCAAAAACATATTTGGTGTTTATAAATGACTTGACAGCTTTGGGTTTTTCTTCTCAACAAAAGTGGAATCACATTTTAATTACAATGCTGTTGTGTGAGTTATTGCTCCACAGATACTGTTCTGCTCAGGCTCTGAATTGTAGTATTTGCACTTGCCACCTTATCAGCTGCTAGTTGTCAACACTATTTTGCTTCTTTTTGTAGCCCCTTTATGTTTTTATAAATTTTAAGTACAATTTCGGAAAAACACATTTGGTTAGTTTTATAACAATACATAGTGCAGACTTGAATCTCTCATAAACAGCATTTTTAGGAAAATTCCCCATTGCATCCTTGATCTCAGTCAAGAGTATACAGTTACATAGCAATACAAGATATACATGTATGCATTCTCTGTCTCTGGCGCAGCAACTATGATTATTATACCCATGTATATGTAGTTGCTTCTCTTAGTTACCCTGATTCCATGCTAGGCTCCGTTGACACCTGTTTTTGCGCATAATAGCATGCGTTTTGTTTAGAGTCTCGTCTAGCATGTTTAGAGCATCTTTTACATGTGTTAGATGCGCGCACACGAGATTGAAATGCATTGCGTTGACTGAACAAACGTGCGTAAATATGCATGAAAACTTGCACAAAGATGTACAAAACGAATATGTCCCACATTTCCTGTATTCTGCGTTTTACAGCTTGCGACAAAACTCTCAGGTGAGAACAGGGGGCCATTGAAATGAATGGAATTTCTTGTGTTGAGAGTTCTGTTCCGCTTAGCTTTGAGCTTCAAAAGCCCAGGTGTGAACAGGGACTAAAGAATGTTGTCATTCAGGATGTCCATTGATGTGACCAGCAAAGGTGTCCAAGGCAATACAAGGCATGATGAATATCCCAATTTTACTACATCAATATTTTAAAAAATGTGACTGTAAAGCTGGCCATACACTGGTAGATTTTCTTACAAAAATCTATACAAACATTTTGTCAGAACATTCGATAATGCTATCAAATGTTTTTTTTTTAAATTTGTTTGATTTTGGAATTAATGGAGTCTTCTGAATGAAAACCACATTCACTGTTAGAATTTCAGTCTTTCAAAAAAAAATTCCATCCTGCTCCTTTTGATTTTTTTTTTTTTATGACTGCCGTCAAAAATGATTGGCAATTTGATCCCGTTATTATTATGAAATCGAACTAATGTTCTGAAAACACATTTTTTCTGAGCAAAAGTCTACTGGTATATGGGCTGGAACTTTTTTTTATAGGCCTAAAAAAATCATCACAATAATTAATCATGCATCTTATTATTGAAAGCAAAATTCAATCCTTTGGTTTAATTTGAAAAAAAATAATATAACTTTCAACTCATTTAGCTTAACGAACTATAAACGTTAATGCACTTTTCTTCTGTACTTTGTGGTAATGAAAGAGTGAATAACATCAGAGCGGGAACAATACACTCTGCAGGTACATGGTGTTTTTGTTCTAAAGACAGGCGGTGAGCTAGGCAGATTCCTGCTGCTTAATACTTTGCTACAATGTAGGCTGGTCACAGAGATTACCCAAAGGGTTTCAGTTCATCTGAGGTCAGATTTGCATATACAAATGACACACGCACAGAATAAGGACATAGCCCCTGCTGGTATGTATTTGCTTAGTTGACCATTTCAGCTGATTAAACTTACACTTAGTGTTGTTAAGATTGCACACGATGAAGGGGAATATGTTTTTTTTTGTGAAGGCAGTATTCCCGTCGTATTTTTCTTCTGTGTCTTCTACCAGTTAACTGTCAGAGCTTACCCCAAGATCTGATATTTTGTGTAAAATAAAACATTTGCTTATCTGCCCGTTGCTCCAAGACTTTTAGTTTGGTCCTATCACCTGCACAAAAAAAGCTTGAAAGCCATGTCTAGAAAGACAGCCAAGGCTAAGCTTTTCTAGATCCCGGTGCACAATGTGTCCTGCAGTATAGCCTTGTTACATAAAAATCCTGTACAAATGGCTAAATGACAGGGACCCCATTAAATGTTGAGTACGCCATATGTAAAGGCACCAGTAAGCTCACCCATCTTATACATTTCAGACACTTGGCAGAAAGAAAGGAAAGCATGTGTAAACCCTAACAGTTGCGTTGCACTCTTATTTTATTGTTTACAGCTACCTCTGTGGTCTACATAACAGTCCCCCCTATGTTATTGAGGAGAGGAGTACGAGTTCTGTAGTTCTGCCATAGGTGACAACGTTATTCATTAGATGTAGTGGCTGAATTTGTTTCCTTTACTTAACTTAGTGATGCCAGTGACACTTCCTGTCCAAAGGTGACAACGCTAACTCCTTGTATTGTATTTATGGAGGAGCAACAGTGTCACCCTAGGAGATGAAGTTTGGTAAGACTGCAAAACTTCCTTCCGCCTCATAACATGGGACAAGGGGGTGTTTTATAGTGCACAGAAGATACTTGCGAAGGCTGACAGCACTGTTTGAGAATTCAGTTCACTACACAGTAACTTTTATTATATTAGATTTTGATCATGGATTTAACCAGTTGCCGTCCACTCGTTGTAAAAAAACAGACGGACGGCACTGCTGCATTGGCGGGTTGCCGTCTCCAGACGGCATTTTTTTTCTGCTAGCTGGCGCGCACGGGCAGAAAAGACCAGTGCAATGAAAACACCCGTTACCGGGACGTTTCACATATAGACGATTGGCGGCTCTATAGCCCACTGATCGTCTATATGTGCTTGTTTTTTCGCCCCCTCCAACGAAGCCCAGCCCCCCACCCCGTCTGCTGCCGCCGCTTTTTCGTGTCCCCCCCCTGTCTGCCTGCTGCCATACCCCCCACCCCCTCCTGACCCCTCACCTTCAATCCCG